GAGGGGAGATGGCGCCACTGCACTCCAGCTCGGGCAGCAGCAGGAGACTCCGTCTCAAAAAAAGAAAAAAAAAAAAGTGTTAGTCAAGCTCTAAAGGCATATTGGCAGGAAGCAAAAACATTTTCCTCAAAATACTAAAAATTAAAACCCAAAAGATCATCGTTTTTCTCCTTCTGAAATTGAGCCGCACGTCCTTAAAATCATCTTGGAAAACACTGGACCTAATGACTTCAACACCCTTTCAAACCATGAGTTTCTGGACCCCTGCGTTCTTTCCCTACAGTGAAATGGCCCTAGTTTCCTCGAGCATTGCTCAAAAGGTTTTGAGTCCTCTCATCTATCATCCCCGCTACTCTCCAGGGATAAGTGCTGTTTGCTTCAGTTGCAGCCTGAGCAGCACCAAAGAAAACTCAGCTATAATTGAGCTGGACCTATCCTCCCATTCGCGCCATATCATGCCTGCCTTAAGGCTGAACTAATGAGAGCTACTGTCACTTTACCCAGAGGGCTTTGAGACACATCCCTTCCGGCCCAACCCTGATCAATTGGGGCTTTTGGATGGACGGCATGACATTTATAAAAGGAGACAGTTTGGATCAGCATAAGGAAGAACTTTCTGACGATTAGTAAGAATCCAAGAAGAAGCCAGGTGCAGGGGCTCACACCTGTAATCCCAGCACTTTGGGAAGCCGAGGGGGTGGATCACTTGAGGTCAGAAGTTCAAGACCAGCCTGGCCAACATGGTAAAACCCTGCCTCTACTAAAAACACAAAAATTAGCTGGGTGTGATGGCACATGCCTGTAATTTCAGGTACTCGGGAGGCTGGTGCAGGAGAATCACTTGAACCTGGGAGGCGAAGGTTGCAGTGAGCTGAGATCGCACCACTGCACTCCGGCCTGGGTGACAAGAGTGAAACTCTGTCTCAAAAAAAAAGCATCCAAGAAGAGTAGTTTAAAAACAGACTAAGCTTGTCGCTGGGCAAGTCCCCAAGCAGAATCTGCCAGGGTGGTGATTCCAACTGCCAAACCTCCACCAGAAGCTCCACCAAACAGGCCCCCCAACTCTGAAATCCATGCTTCTCTAACACAACACGCAAAGACAGAGGAGGAACGAGCCAAGGTGCACTTCCTGGAGGAGACTGGGAGTCTTGCAGATTTCATGCCTGGGCTCTGCCCTGGGATGGTCCAATGCATCAGATTTCCCGCCATAAATCATTTCATTCTCACACCTGTCTTGTGAAGTAGGGAAGCTGTTCCCATTGTGCCAACAATAAAACTGATGCTCAAAGAGGTTAAATAACTTATCCCTCTGCCAATCAGTTGGCAGAGCCAGGATTCCAAGTCAGTTCCATCTGGCACCAAAATTCACATTCATCCTATTACGCTGCGCCGGACACAGGAAGAAACGGAGAAGCTGAAGGTCATCATCTGATGTCAATCTGGAAGGCTAGGAGGAGTGGTTTTGATTTTACACCGAAGATCAGAAAAAGGCCACAAGTTTTTTGATGAGAAAAGTTTTTTCATCTTTGTAAACATTTGAGATCCATTAATAGCAAATGAGAATAACAAAACAAGGGGAAATGAAGTAACAAATAAGGAGGCATAAGTGAAAGCTGGAGCCCTTGGCAGGCACAGAAGCAACCTAGGAAAGGAGGTTCCTGGCAGCCTTCAGCCATGTCCCGTAAAAGGACATAAACCAGCCTCTGTCCAGAGAAGCATCCAGAAAGAGCACCCCAGGAGCCACGGGGACAAGGGCACCTGCTTCTCAGCCCTGATCTATGGAAAGTGCTGTCACAGTTTCTTAAAGGGGAAACGTGGAAAGCGTCACTACTTACATCGTGATGGCAGACGGCCACAAACGATGACCACTTGCCACCGGGGAATTCACAATTCCAGGATGTTTTTCATTTGCTTGCGGAGTTATTGGAAGTTACTGTGATGGATTCAACCACCTTATCAATAATTCACTCATACCCAGGGCTGACCAAACAGCTTCTGATTCCTTCATCTTCCATTGAAACAAACAAACATGCACGGCCTTCACAAATAGAACTTCTCCAAGAAAGTGACAAAGGAAGCAGCGATAGCATTCTCCACGGTCACAGCTAAGCAAAGAGGCGAGGTGACACATTTGTCAAAGCTGTGAAGAGGGTCCCTGATACCATCGGCTGTTGTACAGTCCACATGCTTCAAGCCACAAGACATGCTCTGGAAGTGTGTGATGTGTTTGGGAAAGAACTCATGTGTGCTTCCAAATCCCAGATTAAAGAGCATGGGGCTCCAGGAACACCTGAGTGCTGTTTTTGAAACCATGCAAAATCACAGCCAACACAACTGAGCCCACAGCAGTAGGAAAACATTTCGAAATGTTATTTAAAGTGCTATTATATATAACGAAGGGTCCATAGTGAGATGTCTTGGAGTTTATGAATATTTATTATAGTACATTCTTGAAAACAAAAAAAAAAAATTAAGTCCAATACAAATGAGAAACAGATTTATAAGAGTCAGTCATATGTTTACATTATGCAAATTGTAGTTAAAGACCTATAACCAGAATATTGTTAAATGCCTAAAAAGGGGGTAGTGGGGCAGCTGATTTGTGAGCATTTTCTTAAAATGGGCAAACAATATTCTTAGAGTTTTTGACAATCTGTGCACTGAAGGGTTCATGTGGGTACATCTTGTTAACTTTCAGCGACTTGGTGGTGGAGTCACAGATCCAAGGTAAGATCAAAGGCCTGAGGTTCTCACAGCCTCTTCGCTCACAACAGCCAAGGCTCCACCAGACAGAGGTAGGAGACACCTTGAAACTTGACAGAAAGCGCTCACACACATCTCAGCTGCCTCCAGCCCTGAAGCAACGAGGAGGCTTTGCTAGCACGCTGAAAACTCCCACACAGCTAGCTAAGCACACTCGACTTTCACATTCAGCAGAGACAGAGGCCTTGAGGACGTTGCAAAATAGCCTGCCCCAGAGACCTCACCTTGAGCTTTGCCAAGCGCACCAAGCGGGGCATCCTCTGAGTACAGGTCCCAGACAGACATGCGGGTGATAGGAAAAGTCTATTTCTAAGGAAGATGGAAGGTGAATGAGCTCCCCCTCCTCCCCTTTGCAGATATAGTAAAAGGCCCATAACCACAAACTTCACCAGACACCACATCATCGAAGGAGAGCTGACCAATAGTATTAGTCCATTTTCACGCTGCTGATAAAGACCTACCTGAGACAGGGTAATTTGCACAGAAAAAGAGGTTTAATGGATTCGCAGTTCCACGTGGCTTGGGAGGCCTCACAATCACAGTAAAAGGCAAAAGGCAAGTCTTACATGGCAGCAGGCAAGAGAGAATGAGAGCCAACCAAAAGCCAATAAAACCATCAGATCAGCCAGGAGTGGTGGCTCACGCCTGTCATCCCAGCACTTTGGGAGGCCGAGGCAGGTGGATAACCTAAGGTCAGGAAATCAAGACCAGCCTTGCCAACAAGGTGAAACCCCGTACCTACTAAAAAGGAAAAAATTAGCTGAGCATGGTGGCACGCACCTGTAATGCCAGCTACTCGGGAGGCTGAGACAGGAGAATCGCTTGAATCTGGGAGGTGGAGGTTGCAGGGAGCCAAGATAGTGCCACTGCACTCCAGCCTGGGTGACAAGAGTGAAACTCCACGCCCCCCAAAAAATAAAAAAATAAAACCATCAGATCTGTAAGACCTATTCACTACCACGAGAACAGTATGGGGGAAACTCCCCTCATGATTCAATTATCTCCTACCAGGTCCTTCCCACAACACCTGGGAATTATTCAAGATGAGATTTGGGTAGGGACACAGCCAAGCCATGTCACCAATTAAGATGTATTATTATTATTTCTTATTAGGAAAGCAATACACAGTCATTGTAAGAGATCTACAAAATACAAGAAAAAATACAGGTAGAATAGAGGAGAAAATGTGTGCATAGGATTCAAATTAAATTGAGATCCCTCACTGAAATGGGTTGCTTCACCTTTTCTTAGGAAGCATGGACGGGCTGCACCCCACCTCACACTGCCCACTGCCAATGGCCCCCAGGACCCTGCCCCAGATGCCGTGGAGGCTTGTGGTGCCTCTTCTCCAAAGGACTCACTCTGAGGATCTGAAAGCCAGCCACAAATGGTCTTTCCATACACAGAGGAAGAATGAATGAGTTACAGATGAACTTCACCACCAGAGACAAAACCCCACCCAATCATCACCTTGCAAAAAAACCCTACCAGGCCCTAGCTGTGTTGTCTTAGGCCAGTTACTCGACCATTCAGAGACCTCATGTCCTTGTCTGAATGTGGGGGATGAGAATGGTCCCCTGGCTGCACAGGGCCATGGTGACACTCCAACAAAAGGACCCTACCCAGTGCTTCCAATTCTGTGCAGTGTTGCTCATAAGAACAGCAAACATCACCCTCAAAAGCAGCTCCAAGGATGGCCGCTGTGGGCAAGAGGCAGTTCTTGTGTCTTTAATACAAAATCAATATATAGGCCAGATGAGGTGGCTCACACTTGTAATCCCAGCACTTTGAGAGACCAAGGCAAGGAGGATCATTTCAGGTCAGGAGTTCAAGACCAGCCTGACCAACATAGTGAAACCCCATCTCTACTACAAATACAAAAATTAGCCAGGTGGTAGTGGCATGTGCCTGTAATCCCAGCTACTCAGGAAGCTGAGGTAGGAGAATTGCTTGAACCCAGGAGGCAGAGGTTGCAGTGAGCCGAGATCACACCATTGCACTCCAACCTGGGCAACAGAGCAAGACTGTCTAAAATATATATATATTTATATATTGAATAAACAGAAATACGAATGCACTGTTGGATCCCTAAAAGCTGAAAATAAATCAGTTCTGCTTTCATGTTCTTCCAAGTTTGGCCTATGAGCACAACCATCATCTCCTGGGGATTTGATTCCATCCATTGTATATGCTGAAGTCAAGATGCCTGTTTTTAAAATCCATTAATAACCACCAACCTGTTTTTGTGTCCTGGGGATTAACCAAAACCAGTATCTTGTGTTGAGGTTCATCACGGTGCACAGTGCAAAAGTAAACAGATGAAGCTTCAAGTTTCACCTGAAAAAAATCACAAAATGACTATTTTGTTATTTCATCATAATATGGGCATGGGAAGTTACTTAACATTAATTAGCACAGTGTGCATTGAAAGAACTCTGTTGCACAGAACATGGGCTTAATTTGACAGAACACAGGCACCACAAGAATGGAAACCTTACCCATGCTGAGCTAAACACACAGGGAATTTCAAAAAGTTCTTCTCTCATTTCCCGCCCAGCGCATCTTTTCTTCCCCACGTCCACATGTCCATCTAGCCACACATATCGACCTAGGCTGCTACTTGTTGGCCAATCGACCTTCAGCTCTCCCTTCCAAACACTTCCTACCACCTTCTGGATCCCAATCCGCCCACCTTGGGTCCAGCTCTTCTCCCAGGGCCCCGGAGGCCACTATATGGACACAGCCTGGGACATGCCTGCCTCCACCGGGATGCCACTCGGGATGCCCTGGCTCAGTCCAGCAAGCAGTCTCAAGAAATGCACACCTTTGGCTGGGCGCAGTGGCTCATGCCTGTAATCCCAGCACTTTGGGAGGCAAGGCGGTTGGATCACTTGAGGTCAGGAGTTCAAGACCAGCTTGGCCAACATAGTGAAACCCCATCTCTATTACAAATACAAAAATTAGCCAGGTGGTAGTGGCATGTGCCTATAATCCCAGCTACTCGGGAGGCTGAGGCAGGAGAATCGCTTGAGCCTGGGAAGCAGAGGTTGCAGTGAGCCAAGATTGCACCACTGCACTGGGCAACAGAGTGAGACCCTGTCTCGAAAGAAAAGAAAAGAAAGAGAAATGCACACGTTCTTTGGTCCCTACAGGCCCAGTCCAGGCTCCCTGTCAGCCCTGGGACAGAAAAGCTCAACTCTGGGCACCTGTTTGTTATATGAGAGAGGAACCAGTATCTCTAATACTGAGATGCCCGAGAGCCTTCTCTCAATTACCTAGATCCAAAGCCCCCTTTGTGGTCATCAGACAAAAAGGTCAATGTGCTCTGGTACCAAGTCTGTTCTGAAAACCAAGGACAGGTCAGGTGCGGTGGCTCACGCCTGTAACCCCAACACTTTGGGAGGCCGAGGCAGGTGGATCATGAGGTCAAGAGATGGAGACCATCCCAGCCAACATGGTGAAACCCGTCTCTACTAAAAATACAAAAATTAGCTGGGCGTGGTGATGTTCACCTGTAGTCCCAGCTACTTGGGAGGCTGAGGCAGGAGAATTGCTTGATCCTGGGAGGAGGAGGCTGCAGTGAGCCAAGATCACACCACTGCACTCCAGCCTGGTGACAGAGCAAGACTCCATCTCAGAAAAAGGAAAGAAAAGAAAAGAAAACCAAGGACGGTATAAGAAAATTACAAAAGAACATGTTGGCTAAGCTAGGCAGGCAGGCTGCTTGTTAAAAGTTGATAGCAGGCCTCCACAGTTTCAGACAACAATTTCTTAACAAATCCTGCACCTTATAAATGTCTTGGTGCTTCTCAGTCTTTGGCATCACTTTAATGAAGAGTTCCCAAGCTGGCCCTCCCAAAGAGTTTGTGTGCAACATGGTTCATCCACAAGCTAGCTGTTACAGGCCATTAAACCCAACATTTACCAAGCATTGGATCAACATGGAAAGATAGTTGAGTGCAATAACTCATGCCTATAATCCCAACACTTTGGGAGGCCTCAGTGATCACTTGAGCCCAAGACTTTGAAAACAGCTTGGGCAACATAGTGAGACCCTATCTCTACAAGAAATAAAATATTAGCTGATGTGGTGACACATGCCTGGAGTACCAATTACTTGGGAGGCTGAGGTGGGAGGATCACTTGGAGCCTGAGAGGTAGAGGCTGCAGTGAGCCGTAATCACACCACTGTACTCCAGGCTGGACAACAGAGAGACCCTGTCTCAAAAAAAAAAAAGGAAAGAAAGAAAAAGAAAAAGAAAGATGCTTATTACAAACCACATTGTATTCAGAAAGTGATCTCACCTATTTCTTAGGAATTGCAAAAATACAAAAGCCAAAAGCAAACACATTAAAATGTTCACAGCAGTTAACTATGGGTGATTTTATTTTCTCTATCCTCTGTAACAGTTCCTAAATATTAAACAATGAGCATGTACTGTTTTATAATCAGAAAAATTGACAAGTATTAATATTATTGTATTTTCAATGTGACAGGACAATTTCAAGACTGAAAAAGGAGTTAATTGTCAAAAGGAAATATTTTTAGGACCAAAGTGAAATGACATGACATATCCTCAAACCACTTCTTTATCTTTTTGTTTCAAAAAACTTCTTTGCATTCAAAAAGAAGAGTTAAACCTTAGAAAAGTAATAAGGAGGTCCAATATCATTCCAAATTAGACTATTTCAACATCCTAAATGGCAGAAGACAGGTCCCATTTCTTTTTTTCTTTTTGAGACAGAGTCTTGCTCTGTCATCCAGGCTGGAGTGCAGTGGCATGATCTCAGCTCACTGCAATCTCTGCCTCCCGGGTTCAAGAGATTCTCCTGCCTCAGTCTCCCAAGTAGCTGGGATTACAGGCGCCCGCCACCACATCTTGCTAATTTGTTTTGTATTTTTATTAGATACAGGGTTTCACCATATTGGCCAGGCTGGTCTTGAACTCCTGGCCTCAGGTGATCTGCCCACGTTGGCCTCCCAAAGTGCTGGGATTACAGGTGTAAGCCCCCCACGCCCAGCTGAAACTTTCTTTTTTTAGAAAGTGAAAAAGCAGATAGGTATATAGTCATTTCACATTTCTATCACATTAAAACAACTTAATTTTAGTAGCTGTCTTATGTTTTCGCTAATAACACTAAAATTCTTCACTCACTGAGCATACTACATATTGGGGTGGGGTGAAAGTAATGTAATCCACAAATACATGTGAAATAAAAGCAGATGATAGAAACTGCCTCCTAATGTACTTCAGGGCTAACTCTTGTTATTCTACCCACTTCTGAGATGACCTAGCACCCCCACACTCCATGCCACCCTGCCCCTCACCATCCTGGCTCATTAAGACCCTAGCCTTGAACTAGCATTTGCCTTTTTTGCTTAACGGCCACTAGGGGGCGCTAGGAGCGTGTGAGGACCAGGACCTCCCTCTGCAGATCAAAAAAGTGGAGGCTTTTGATCACCAATGAGCGCTGGATTCTTCTGGGAGTGACTGCGAGCTAGTATCTCCAAAATCTCAAGGAAGCCATACAATTAACTGTACAAGTCATTGTTCTCATTGCCTCAGGAACAACTTCAGTGCAATGAAATAAAACCCTGTCTTTCTTAAGCAGCTTTGCCCCCCAGGTAACAGTATCTGGTAGGAGTGAAATTGTATCCATATAAAACAAGAAGACTGTCTCTTTCAACAGATCAGCCTCAAATCTGAAAAAAGAAAGGGGGGGGGCACTGACGTAGGTGTTACCCAAGATTTACATATACTCTTTACTTACTGCAGGGAGGGAAATAATGATCTTAAAAGTAACACAATTCTCTCCGGGCGCATGGCTCACGCCTATAATCCCAGCACTTTGGGAAACCAAGGCAGGTAGATCACAAGGTCAGCAGTTCGAGACCAGCCTGCCCAACATGATGAAGTCCTGTCTCTACTCAAAATACAAAAATTAGCTGGGTGTGGCAGCATACACCTACACCTTTAATCCCAGCTACTCAGGAGGCTGAGGCAAGAGAATCACTTGAACCCGGGAGGCAGAGGTTGCAGTGAGCCAAGGTCACGTCACTGCACTCCAGCCTGGGCAACAGAGTGAGACTCTGTCTCAAAAACAAACAAAAAAAAGTAACACAATTTTAATATTTCACCCACAATCTTACTGTTCTAACAAATGGTTTTCATTTCTCTCTCTTTCTTTCCAGTCCCTACTCACAATGCATAGAATTTTATCAGTGCTAAAAATCAAAATTGGTATCACTTCATTCCAAATCACAAAGTTTTGGGACTGAATCAAACCTTGGAAACTGAAGACCAACTAATCCTCTCATTTACAAATGGGGAAACTGAGGGGGCTGGGCAACACACACAGTATCTCATAACAACACTATAGGGTATGTATTGTTATTGTCCCAGGTCTAGAGATGACACTACCAAGGCCAGAGGGATTAAGATACTTGCTCAAAGTCACACGGCTAGTAAGTGAGCAGTAGACATTCACACAGGCTGTCTGGCTCACTGCCTGGCAGTTCTGGACTCCAGAATCCCCATGCATGATTCATTCTTCTTCTCAGGATGTGCTTACTCTAATATTCTCTCCAGAAGGGCTTTCTTTTCATCTATCATATTCTTTCAATAACATTCTACTCTGTAAATTAGATTTTACAGAGCTCTTTGCCAAGGAAGATCACACTTACCTGCTCCCCAGTGGGAAGACAGAAAACCTCGGACGAGGCCCCAGCTCCTTCCCCAAGTGAGGCGTAGCAAGCCAGGGCCGCTTTCCGATGCGCATCAGGGTCATCATCCAAAACATCTACTGGGTACACACCTGCTGGCGTCAAAGAGGCAAGAAGGGATGCTAGTTTAACTCTTTTGTGAAATGAAAGTAACTTATTTCTTGAGAAGTTGTTTAAAAAGTGAACGCTTGCTTAAAAAATTATGTTCACCTATTTTTTTCTTTTTTTTTTTTTTGGAGGTGCAGTCTCACTCTGTCACCCAGGCTGGAGTGCAGTGGCATGATCTCAGCTCACTGCAGTCCCCACCTCCTGGGTTCATGCAATTCTCCCGCCTCAGCCTCCCGAGTAGCTGGGACAACAGGCGTGCACCACCACGCCGGGCTAATTTTTGTATTTTCAGTGGAGACAGGGTTTCAGCATGTTGGTCAGGCTGGTCTCTAACTCCTGACCTCAAGTGATCCACCCACCTTGGCCTCCCAAGTGCTGGGATTACAGGCTTGAACCACCATGCCCAGCCATGTTCACCTATTTTTTTTAATTTTTATTTTTTTAGAGATAGGATCTGGCTATGTTGCCCAGGCTGGACTTGAACTCCTAGGCTCAAGTGATCGTCTCACCCCAGCCTCTGAAGTAGCTGGGACTATAGGCACATTACTATAGGCACATTGCAACATGTCTGGCTCACCTATCTTTTTAAAAACTTAAAAAAAACAGCAGCACAGCAGAAGGTACCAAAGAACATAGTGGACATTCCTGATGGCAGGGTTGGCCTCAACCCCAAGGAGATGAAGTGAGAGCCCCCTTAGACAGCTGTAGAGTCAGCCGAGAGCCAATGTAGACACGTTGGAACCCTGAGCATGAGACTAGCAGTATAGAACTTGATAACTTTGTCAAAATCCAGCTTGAGTTATTATTTTGCTAGCTTACATTGGCCATGAAGGTTCATGAGATTGTGCCAATTCTTCTGCTTTAATTGGGCTACTCTTTGTAAGACTCTGTAAGAACACTGCTAGTATGAATTCTAAAACTACACATCCATACACAGATGGGCGAGCATACATATTAATGTGCTGGTTATTCTTCAACTCTTCCTCTGCATCTCTTTACTCTTACTCTTTACCTTACTTTTGGGGAAAAATTATATCCTTGAATACTCAGACATTTTTTTTTTTTTTTTGAGACAAGAGTCTTGCTCGGTCGCCCAGGCTGGAGTGCAGTGGTGTGATCTCGGTTACTTCAACCTCGGCCTCCAGGGTTCAAGTGACTCTCGTGCCTCAGCCTCCCAAGTAGCCGGGACTACAGGTGTGCACCACCATGGCTGGCTAGATTTTGTATTTTTAGTAGAGCCGGGGTTTCACCATGTTGGCCAGGCTGGTCTTGAACTCCTAATCTCAAGTGATCCACCTGCCTCAGAATCCCAAAGTGCAGGGATTACAGGCAGGAGCCACTGCACCCAGCCAGCTCAAACAAAATTGATAGCATCCAATTTCAGCTGAGAAGCAGCAATCAGTTTCCCACTCTGCAGTGACCAACAATTCTAGCTGGCATGTCCCCAAGTGGGGATGGGGCTGTATCCCCAATCTGTGGACCCCACCTCAGCCTCCGATTCACCTCTTGAGCATCCCATAGGGGAAGGAGGTTGCTGCAGCAACTGCCTCCTCTTCCTCCTCCTCCTCCTCCTCCTCCTCCTCTAAGATAAGCCTGGACGTAAACGCCCACATCGAGCCCCTTGTGGAAAATCAGCTTCCCCCGCTTATTTCTGAAGCGCCGTTCCCCCTGCCAATCACTTTTCTGGAATCAAAGACTGCAAAAAGTGGCAAGTCTTCAGTCCACCAAGTATGCCTAGGAAGAATCTCACTGCTGGGAGTAGTTCCTGGAGGGGAAGGCTCCTAACTTTGGAGGATGTTAAGAGCTTCTGTGGACCAGGACACAGCCTCTGTAGAAGCCCAGCCTCCTTGTCCCTCACTTTCCAGGGTGAAAACATCATGGGCATGCAGAGTGGTAAATAAATAGCTGAGTAAACACATTTTCACATTCTTCCAGCCCCCTGGCCTGAACTGAACCTACAGGCCTTCCCTACTTCTGACTGGCCCCCAGTGCACAGCTTGGGAGCCAGATGGATCCACAATGGCACCCTAGTTCCTTACTCAGGGACCACTCAGATCTGCCATAAAGACCAAACAGAGCCTGCATCGCCTCTCTATCGCACTGACATTCATCCCTTAGCTCAGAGCCTCAGCATCTTTTTTTCTTTCTCTTTTTTTTTTTTTTTGAGACAGGGTCTTACTCTGTCACCCAGGCTGGAGTGCAGTGGTACGATTTCAGCTCACCACAGCCTCAACTTCCCAGGCTCCAGGGCTCCTCCCACCTCAGCCCCCTGAGCAGCTGGGGCTACAGGCACAAGCCACCATGCCCAGACAATATCTGTTGTTGTTGGTGGTGGTTTTTTGCTTTTGTTTTTTGTAAAGACAGGGTTTTACCATGTTGGCCACGCCAGGCTGGCCTCATACTCCTGAAATCAAGTGATCCACCGACTTCAGCCTCCCAAAGTGCTGGGGTTACGAACGTGAGCCACTGCGCCAGCCCCTCAGCATCTCCTAACAACTACCTGCTCCATCCATCCAGGCAGCCATCCGTCCATCCATCCATCTGCCCTCCCCCATCACCAATTAAAATAACAAAAGCAGCTGATGTTTTTTGGGCTCCAGTTGCCAACAAGATGCCGAGAGCTCCACATCCATGATCTCACGGAATCCTGCTTACCTCATTTACAGAAGAGGAAACTGAGGCATCTAGACGATAATGCCTGGCCAGCAAGGGCAACACTGGGTCATGAGCCCAGGTCTGATTTCAAAATCAGTGTAAAACAATCAGATTGTGCTACTGACCCAATTAAAACAGTTCCCTTTACCAAGTTCAAATGCCATTTAAAAGTACCAGGGGCCAGGCGCAGTGGCTCACACCTGTAATCCCAGCACTTTGGGAGGCCGAGGCGGGTGGATCACGAGGTCAAGAGATCAAGACCATCCTGGTCAACATGGTGAAACCCCATCTCTACTAAAAATACAAAAAATCAGCTGGGCATGGTGGCGTGTGCCTGTAATCCCAGCTACTTAGGAGGCTGAGGCAGAAGAATTGCCTGAACCCAGGAGGCGGAGGTTGCGGTGAGCCGAGATCGCGCCATTGCACTCCAGCCTGGGTAACAAGAACGAAACTCCGTCTCAAAAAAAAAAGTACCAGGTCAGGCCAGGCACAGTGGCTCACACCTGTAATCCCAGAACTTTGTGAAGGAGGATCGCCAGAGGTCAGGAGTTCGAGACCAGCCTGGCCAACGTTGTGAAACCCCGCCTGTACTAAAAATACAAAAATTAGCCAGGCATGGTGGTGCGCGCCTGTAGTCCCAGCTATTCAGGAGGCTGAGGCAGGAGAATCGCTTGAGCCTGGGAGGCAGAGGGTACAGTGAGTTGAGATTGCACCACTGCACTCTAGCCTGGGTTACAAGAGTGAAGCTGTCTCAAAAATAAATAAATAAATAAATCCAAGGTCCCTCCCCTGTAACACTCAGGGTGCCTTATGGCCCCGCTGCAGGGCTCTCTCTGCCTGTCCATCCTCGAGACCCATCTCAAATGCACCCATCACTCCTGAAGCCTTTCTGGAGCCCCAAAACAGAAGGGCAAGGACTCTGGGGAACACTGAGTCCTGTGTTCTGTCTAAGATAGGATAAGCATATGTGGGCCACATCCTCTGTCCTGCAGGACCCCCTAACTCACACCTCAACTCTGTCTCAGAGCAGTCACCCCCCACAACTCACAACAATGAAAGGAGCTGGGGCATGCGGAGTACCACACAGCTCCCCCGCCCTCCCCAGCCCACTATGAAGACCCCTTCCCATCCTTTTCCCATCCGAAGCACTTAGTCCATTTGGGTGGTTGTTCAACTGAGCTCTCTGTTCAAACTGCTATTCGTTTCAACTAGTTGGGCAAGTGGCTTCCCACAGTCTAAAAAAGATTCACTGAATGTTCAAAGAAATTCAGAAAAACAGGCCGGTTGCAGTGGCTCACACCAGTAATCCCAGCACTTTGGGAAACAGAGGCGGGCAGTTCACGAGGTCAGGAGTTCGAGACCAGCCTGACCAACATGGTGAAGCTCGTCTCTACTAAAAATACAAAAATTAGCTGGGTATGGTGCCTGTAATACCAGCTACTCGGGAGGCTGACGCAGGAGAACCACTTGAACCTGGGAGGTGGAGGTTGCAGTGAGCCGAGATCATGTCACTGTACTCCAGCCTCAGCCACAGAGTAAGATTCCGTCTTAAAAAAAAAAAAAAAAGAAAAAGAAAAACAAGGTGGAGAGAGGGTTGCTTCCACCTTGGGGCCCACATGCATACCGCATGCTCCTCCCACAAAACCAACTTCAATAGCTAACTCTCAAAACACACCCAGAAACTCCAGTGTTAAGGGGCAAGTGGAGATCTGGCTTTGATTGTCACTCTCTGTTGCTGGCCCTGTGTTCTGGGAAAGACGTTTGTCAGATCTGGACCACCCGTCTCTTGCAGCGAGGATGCAAGTTCAACAGAAGAGCATGATTAACCAGCCCCATGAAGATGCTGACCTTGGCCCCTTGTGAATTCACCTACCAGGGGGGTGCAAAGACACTGTGGTCATTTGGGTTTGCAGGGAGGGGGCACCTCACCCAAGACCATCAGGCCTGAGGCCTGGCTGCTCAGGGACCCAGAGAAGCTCCTGCCTTATTCCTGCAGGCGGCCCAGGATTGCCTGGCATCATTTCTGGTAACATGTGATCAGGAGAAATGCAATGAATCTTTTGCTCCTTCCACACCACGAAATCGCTTCCCCAGTAAGTTATGCTTCGGGGCCTGTTGGACTCCCTCAAAGAACTCAGTGGGCTGTACCCCAGGATACCCTCTGCCCCAGAGCTTTAGTGGCTGGCCACCCAAAAGGCCACAGGGACAGGGAATGTTCTCAGCACTGAAGCCACCAGGATCAGCAGACACAGCCCAGCTCCATGATCCTGAGAATGGGTGCAGCATCAGGTCCACCTCTGGAGAGCAGGGTCCCCGAGGCCACATAAAT